GTCTTCAGGAAGTTCAGTCCCTCCCGCAGGACCTAAGTGCTCGCGTAAAATACAATTCTAATAAATGTCATGGTTGCGGGAACAACGGTGCACGATTGTTCCCCATGCTTGTAAACTATTGCTCTTCTTATCTCCGTTTACAATCTTGGATCGCCGACGTCTCTCTTGCAATTGCTTTAATAATTTTGGTCGCGCTGTCCAGCAGTATTGGTTCGAGATCGAACGAAATCGCATTCGTCTGTGCCTTTAAATGCGGAACATTCGTTTGTAGCAGCCATTTTCGCGCCGGCACGGTGGCGATGGATGCTTTTTATTCGAGAAACGTGACGCGATATTGTTATATCGTGGCTATTCTAGGATCAGATTTGTGTAACAGAAACAACTGAAAATCCATCGTCAAACTGTTTTAAAAAATTTATGGAACGATCGATCAAATCCAAGCTTGCGATTATTACTAGACCGCGGATTTTACGTAGTTATGGCAAAAATTGTTAGCTGAAATGTAACATTCCATAGACGCAAGTCAAATTTGATAACACAGTTACACTATTTTCAATTTATTTTATGTAATATCTGTTTCATGAGATCGTCTCAGACAATCTTGTATTTTGCACAAAGATCCGCGGTCTAATTATTATAAAATAAAAATCAGTGGTTTCAGTATTACTGTACGTTATATCACACAAATGGAAGAACGTTTCCCAGATATTTTCTCCATCACCAACGTGCCAACCAAACATTGAGTTTCCTACGTGTATCAGTCTCGAAAATGGATTGAGCGAAAATGTACGAAATCAGTTCCATCATTTTCTGCCTGCTCGAGGAAAATCGCACCGGTTTATTGCAGTATTGGTACACTCTTCCCACTGGTTCCCACGGCTTCAAATGAATATCGACATTGTTCAATTAATCTCGCGTACCAGCGTTAAATAAATTCCGGAGCTCTGCTCCTTTTGTACCTTGCTCCTTATCTACAACGTCGTGGAAACAAAGACTAAGTACGCGAAGCATCTTGAAATATTCGCCACGATCCTCGGAACCGAATGAACCAGCTATCAAATTCTGTAACAATATTATAATATTGATATCATTAAGTTCTTATTATAATATAATTATAATATTATAATATTGATAAATTCTTATTATAATATAATTATAATATTATAATATCGATATTATAATATTGATATTTTTAAGTTCTTATTATAACATAATTATAATATTATAATATCAATAATATGATATTGATATTTTTAAATTTTAGATTCTTCCGGTTCTGAATTTTGCTCGACAATGTTTGCATAAAGTCCGCAGTCAGCTAATTAATCATCGAGCCCGATAAGAATCGTGACAAGTATTTCCAGATGTTCCAAGAACTCTCTCTCGACTTCTCTTCCCAGCGTCAACTGAGTCAGCTACCTGGAAGTACGCTACCGGAAGTGGCTGTCATCGGCCGCCGGAAGTTACCCCGGCATACTAAACGCTGCTCTTCCTGTACGGCCGTTTCGCATATTTTCCAAATATGCCCTCGGCTCGCCTGCGGAGGTACACCATCGATTTCTGCCTGGCTATCACTCGCTGTCGCTGCTGTCAAAGAATCGACACGTCCTCCGAGTTCCTGTTCTCCGTCAGCCTGCTGTTCCTGTTCTCCGGCAGCTTGCTGTTCCGGTTCTCCGTCGGCTTGCTGTTCCTGTCCTCTATCTGAACGGTCGAGCTGCTGTGATTCGCCCCGGTATGATTCGCCATTCCCGGCTGCACGTTCACGTACTTAGGACCCTCGTCTTCGTTGCGCTGGAAGTACTGCAGGCTGATCGCCGGCCCCGACTTGTCGTTGTTGGGCAACAACGGCTTCGAGCTCTCTATGTCGCCGACCACGTCGCCCAACAGACACTCCGGGGTCTTGTTGTCGTGGCAGGTGATGTCCAGGAGAGGGGGATTCGGAATTTCGAGGGGGCTCGAGGCGGACGTCGAGGATCGACTGTTCTGCCGGTGCGGCCAGGACAACGAGAACTTCCGGTTGTTCTCCGTCAGCTGCAAGTCGATTTGCCCGGCGTGCTCTATCTGCACGCTGGCTATAGGAACGTCTAAACACGGCGACAGGATCCGAGGATTCGTCGCCAGGAAGTCCACGATCTCCGGCGCCGTCGGCCTCTTCGTGTGGTCCGTCCTCCAGCAGGAGTATATCAAGTACTCCCTTGAAAGGATAACAATTTTCGTTAGACTTGTTCCCGATTTCGATAACCGGCGAGACGACGACGAATTGTCGATCGACTGCTTTTAAATTCAATGAATCAAATACGAGACCGCCGGCGAAGTTTGAAACCACTTGCGCATTCGAACGGATAATGTTTCACGAGGCTGTGGAACTTTCGCGGCGATACATGATAAATTGATTGCGACCGGTCTTCCCCGAAGCAAACTATTCCGGCGTACTGATAATGTACACTGTACATATGTATACCGGATACATGAATAATGATGTACACCTTTCGCTAGGATACACGTTTAAAGATAACAGTGTCGACTTTTCAAGCTCAACATTTTTACACGCGTTCTTCAATCTTACAGTAATGTCTCTCCAATTGACGCTCAGATTGTCCATAAAAGTGGCCAATTTGCGGAAGAGGAGATACGATTATTCGAGTCTTGCGGCTCGCTTTTATAATTGTGGACAATTTATAACTATAAAAATAAACCACAAGGCTCGAATAATCGTATCTCCTCTTCCCAAATTGTCCATTTTTGTGGTCAATTAGAGAGACATTACCGTATAAAAACGAACCGCAAGACTCGAATAATCGTATCTCCTCTTCCCAAATTGTCCATTTTTGTGGTCAATTAGAGAGACATTACCGTATAAAAACGAACCGCAAGACTCGAATAATCTTATCTCCTCTTTCCAAATTGTCCACTTTTGTGCACAATCCGAGCGTCAATTAGGGAGACATTAGTGCACTACCTAAACGTAAGAATAATTTTGTAGATTTGTATTTAACTACTTGGCCAGGATTCTTAAAGGTGTCCCGTTTTTTTCAAACGAATGTCCAAGTATCCACCTTAAATTGTCCTCCAAATAAAAGCAATAAAGTCAAGAATCGATTAAGAATCGAATATTAATACACAACGACGAAATCAGAATATATTAAATAAATAAATTAGAATACACGCGGAGGTATCCGCGAGGTAGCTAAGGTCCTGATCGACAAGTCGCAAACTTGAAGGCTGGAGACACTCACAACTGTAGTCTGACTCCTTTAGGGACAACCAGCGAGTTCCCGGCCTTCACGTGGACCAATACTTCGTTGTTGCTCATCCCCTGGAACGGGAAACTACCGAACGTGATAATCTCGTAGAGTAGGACGCCATAGGACCAGACGTCCGAAGCTGGAGTGAAGACCCCGAGGCCTAACGACTCTGGAGCCATCCATCTAACTGGCAGCATTCCTGAAACCGAAGATGTCAGTCGCTTCTGGTCGCCGTGGATCCATAAATCTTGACCAACGGTCTTTCGGTACCTTTGCGATTGAACTTGTAGTAATCGTGCTCGTACATGGGCCTCGTCATGCCGAAGTCCCCAAGCTTCACCATGCGTTGAGCGTTGACTAAGCAATTGCGAGACGCAACGTCCCTGAGAAGAAAACGATTGTTTTAACTTCTCGAGTGGACCGACCGATCGATCGAAGTTCAAATAGACAGCCTCCTCGGGTTCAAGCGAGGGCAAACAGAGGATCGTTGACTCACCTGTGAACATACTTCAGCTGCGCCAGGTAGCTAAGTGCCCTGGCCACGTCCAGCGCCATCGCGGTCAACTTTTTATTAGAGATCTCGTCGGAGTCCTCGTAACTTTGATCGTTCACGAGATGTCTACGACCGAGAAGGTAGGTCTTCAAGTCCCCGTAGAGCATGAACTCCATCACGGTGAGCACCGGCTCGCCCTTGATACAGACACCGAGCAGCTTGATGATGTTCTTGTGCTCGAACCTCTTCATCACCTCCACCTCGCTGAGGAAGTCCAGCTTCTCGTCGGTGGAGCTGCCGACTTTCAGAGTCTTCACCGCCACGGCCAGCCAGCCGTTGTCGGGGAAGAAGGCCTCGCCGCCGTAAACTGTGCCGAAGGCACCCTCCCCCAGCTTCCGATTGATCAATACTCTGTCTCGAGGGATCTCCCACTTGTCCAAGTCCGAGGTGTTCCCCTGCGTGAAATCCAGGCCCAAAGATTTCATGTACATCTCGTGGAACTTCACCTTCTCGTCGTACCTGGTGGAACAATTCGTTGGCAACGTTACCAAGAGATCGTAATCCGACGGCGTTCGAAGGTGTCGAAGGCTCGCTTACTTTCTCTTGATGATGATGAAACCGATGATCACCGTCATAGCCAGCACACCGATACCGAATATGTTCACGATGACGAAGGCGACGCCGCAGGACACGTTCAGGAAGTCCGCGAAGCCTGCTATTACGCACCTCTGGGGCGGCTCCGAGCCATCGTCCGGCACTTTATGGGACAGCCAAACGATGGCGGAGTCGTTCAGCTCCAATCTACCGCCGACTATTTCCTGCTTCTCCGTCGAGACGTTCGGATAGAAGTTGCCCACTAGTCGGGTCTCGTTATCGATGTATTGGAGGATGTTGATCACGGAGTACCTCGACGGACCGCCCAGAAAGTTGATCCTCCCCGACACCTGGAGCAAGAAATCGGACCACAGTCCCTCTAGAATACACCTTGGGATTTAACTGAGCACATCGCAGTCGTAACTTTTGTAAACAAAGGAACGCCAAATTTTTGATACCGGAAATCTCCGAAGCGGAAAAAATCTGTTTGGTCGAGAATCTTCTCGACCAAATTATCTTTGGTCGCCGAATATTTAGCGTAAAAGAGTCAAAAAATATACTTGGAACTGTCGAGGAACGAGTCGGTTCCTCGTCGACTACGTCTTCAGGAAGTTCAGTCCCTCCCGCAGGACCTAAGTGCTCGCGTAAAATACAATTCTAATAAATGTCATGGTTGCGGGAACAACGGTGCACGATTGTTCTCCAAGCTTGTGAACTATTGCTCTTCTTATCTCCGTTTACAAGCTTGGATCGCCGACGTCTCTCTTGCAATTGCTTTAATAATTTTGGTCGCGCTGTCCAGCAGTATTGGTTCGAGATCGAACGAAATCGCATTCGTCTGTGCCTTTAAATGCGGAACATTCGTTTGTAGCAGCCATTTTCGCGCCGGCACGGTGGCAATGGATGCTTTTTATTCGAGAAACGTGACGCGATATTGTTGTATCGTGGCTATTCTAGGATCAGATGTGTGCAACAGAAACAACTGAAAATCCATGGTCAAACTGTTTCCAAAAATTTATGGAACGATCGATTAAATCCAAGCTTACGATTATTACTAGACGCGGGAATTTTACGTAGTTTTGGCAAAAATTGCTAGCTGAAATATAACATTCCATAGACATAAGTCAAATTTGATAACATAGTTACACTATTTTCAATTGGTATAAATGATCGAAAGAAACGATCACCTTGACATAACCTTGACATAACTCACCCCATAGAAGTCCATCTCGCCGATGATAGTCGTCAGCCTGTCTACGGTCTGCGGGTTGTGAAGGGTGAAGACGTAGGACTCGTTCTCCTTGAGCAGTTTGTCCATCGCGTACGCGTAAGTCCACATCGCGTCGTAAGCGTAACCAGCGTAATTGGAGGGTGGCTGACCGCTATCCTTGCACTTCTGTTCGTATCGATCGCGCCATGCCCGGACGGTGATGTTCTCCTGCATGATGGCATCGTTGGAGCCGAATGCCGCGTGCGAGATGCCGAGGTAGCCGTTGATCGCTTTGCTCATCTCCAAGGTGGTGCACGGAACGGTGTCGCCGGTATCGTTGTAGCGATCCGTGTCGTACCATTGCGGTCGAAGCCAGACTGGCAGGAACCAAACGTAGCCCTTCGATCGCGTGAAACAAATCATTTCTAAGCAACCATGGTGACACGATTCACAGAAGTGTGATCACACGATCGAATGCGGTCTTGTTGATTGGTACAAGCCGATTCGAAGCACGGTAATTTCTCCCGGAAATGTTCGGAGGTCGGAGTTGAAACCGGCAGATCCGAGAATACTAAGTCGCGATCGGATCATTTTGTATCGTCTTCCAGGAATTCGCATCGCAACACATGCTTGACCGACTCCGTCGACCCTTGGCATCGACGTAGCAGTAAATTATATAGGCGTAGGACTAGCACAGGGAAATTCACGGCAACCTGAAATTTCGCATTTCCGGGAGAAATTACTGTAGTCGTAATCTGAGTACCTGTGCAGCGGTCATCTCCAGCCTGGATGCCTCGCACATCACCTGTCTCGCCACTTGATCGTTCACGTCTGCGATGATGATCTTCGCCTTCTTCTCCTTCAGATCTTGCAGATACTGCGAACCGAATCATTCGAATTCATGTCTAAACTTCTCGAGGGGGAATGAGTCAATATTACAGCTAAACCGCTGCTGTACTTCATATTTAACCCTTTGACCCTTGATAGTTGCCAGCACTTCTTCGTTCTTAACACTAAACCTACCATGGCGGTTAAAATGACCAGTTCCACATTTTTTGTATAAACATTTTTGATATTATAGAGCTACTTTTCTAAGGAATGATTGAATACATTTCTCAATTTAAGCACACGTTACGATGAAAATGATCTGAATAAATTTAGTCTTGTGATTTCTATAGATCAGCACATGTCGGACGTCTTTAATGCTTGATAGATTTAGTGTTATTTAATTTCTTGACAGAGCGAGGCAATTCCTGTCGCTCGTATGTCTTAATTTCTAACGTCTTCGCGACGTCTTCGACGATGCTTATTATAAATCATGCTGACTGAGTTAACATAGCCTTGTTCATATGAAATACGATTATTTAAGCCTTGCGGTTTATTTTTATAGTTATAAATTGTCCACAATTATAAAAGCGAGCCGCAAGGCTCGAATAATCGTATCTCCTCTTCCCAAATTATCCAATTTAGTGGACTATCTAAGCGTCAGTAAGGGAGACATTAAACGATAAACATTTAAACACGTTCTAAAAAACGTTTCTACACGGTCCCTACCTTCGTCATCCCTCCCGACTCGCGTTCCCTCGGGAACTTGAAGTTCGAGACGAACGTGATCCCGTTTGTCCTCAATATGTCCTCCATATACGATATATATTCCGTGTACTTCTGGCCGTCCTCGGTCAGAGCCGCCACCCGTTTCCACTTCAGCTTCTTGAACAGCTCCAGATACACGTGCTTGTACTGTTTGTTCTCGCCGATCGTCCTGAAGAAGTACGGGTATTTCGTGCGATCGTTGAACGTGGAACCCTCGGCGCTGTAGCTGATCACAACCTTGTGATAATGCTTGGAGACCCCGACCAAAGGCTCCACGGTCTCCGAGCACGCGGGGCCCAGGACTCCGATCATCTTGTCGAACTCCTTGGTGATCACGAAGTCGACGAACGACTTGAGCACCATGTCCGACTTGCACTGTCCATTCTTGGCCATCACCGACATGTTATAGTTCGCGAGAACGGTCCTGTTGACGTTGATAGCATCTTTGGCCATGATGCTGGCGACGTAGATCGACTTGCCGGAGTAGAAGGCCGTGTTCATGGGAAAGATACCGCCGACGTAGAGGGTGTTGTGGCTCTTGTAAGGCAGCCACTCCCTCAACGCGTAGTCCAGGTTGTCCCTCAGCCAGCCGCAGGCGATGTCCTCCTCGCTCATCGTCCCCGACTGCTTGTTGTAACGATCGATCAGCTTCTCGTATATGTCGTCCTCGAAGTTCACGGCGTTGATCGCCTCGTAGGCGGACTTCGCCGCGAACTCTAGCCTCCTCCAGACCAGTTTCGTCAACCGGCTGCTCTTGTAGCCGCAGCTGACCTCCTTCGACTGCGGCGACTTGCAACGCGGGAACAGAATCGCACGGAAGTCCGCCTCGTTCGAAACGATGCTGCTCGGGGCCCAGTGCAGGAACACCAGCGATCTGGAAAACGTCGTACACCGTTCGAATCGCGGGACAAAGGTCGAAACTACGAAGCGTGAAAATGTGAAAAGTTTTGCTTTAGAGGCAAGTTATTTTGTTCATTTTTCCATTCGATTATGCGATCATCATTGGACCGCGGATCTTTACGCGAGATCAAAATTTGCAGCAACAGTTGTACGAAACGGATGCTGGTGTAAAAATGTATTTCTTTTAAGTGTTTTAATTAAGTGGAAATAATATTATAACGATCTTAAATCGCTCTAATATTTTTGTACTATATTAAATAGTGCTTAAGATTAATAAGATCCGCAGTCTGGTGATCGTTATCTCGACGTTTCACGAGTTACCCGTAAATTGTGAGCAAAATTGTTGAAACAAAAGTTGCACGGTAATTGTACGACGATAATAATTATCCTAATTAGGAGCGATACAATTGACAAGGATGTTCGTATGCTCTTTGAAACATGGAATTTTAGGGCTCCCATCGAGAAATGATTTAGCGTAGGTGTTCTTAATTCTCGCGCCGGCAAAAATTCGCGCCGAAATAGCCGCGGGCCAGACGCCCGCTGTTTTTCGGCTGAGGCGATAATAAAAAAAAACGCTGCGAAGCGACGAATTGTTTGGGGAACCGTTTCGGGATCGGCTCTGTTTGCGCTCCGTGGCAACGATTTGGTGTAATTAACCTTGAGGAGAGAGAATAATGGAAGCACCGGCGCGGCTGGAGATGTTTCAGCGATCTTGATAATCTCGAATTTCAAGTTTGAACTGTCGTAATCGCTTGCGAGAAAATTGCACGGTCATAAAACTGGTCTCATTTGAAGGCTTCGAGCGTCTACTTTTACGGTCCATGGTTCATTTTTGCGTAAGGTGTTTTCGCGAACGATATAGCGATGATGTAAGTGACACGGTGGGAGATCGAAGACACGTTGCTCGAAAATATCGCGCGCATCGAAACGTCTGCGAAAACATTGGAAAATTTGTTTCGCGACTTTTATCGTCGTGGATTTCAAGGCCGAAGCTTCCTCTTTCCAATCGATCCTCGAAAATTAATGTACGATTTTTTTTTAGCTGTTTTACGAACAAATGAAGCACTCGCGGCGTGTCGTACGTTATTATAGAGTTGGCGGCACAGTGTTCGGTCAAAGCTCGATAGAACGATGAAGAAAAGATCGTATCTCAATTTTCTAAAGGTTTTTCGGTAAAGGAAGCTTCGATCTTGAAATCTATGGTATCTTTAGTCACGATGAAAATTTTCTAACGGTTTCGGAGGCGTTTCCATTCGCAGGAAATGGACGGTGTATATTCAAGGAGAAAATACAAAAATATTCTAGAACCGATCAATGTTTAAAATCACAAGTTCGGAAGATCTTGTTATCGATATGGCGTGAAAAGAGGTTGAAGCAGGGAGTCACAAGGTTGCAGTCGAGTGATAACGTCTCACGGAATTTGACTTTGAACGGTTATCTGCGCGACTATCCAGTGCAACCTTTTCATCCTCGTGTCAAGCAGACCGCACAGAAATCCATAGATTCCTACGTGAGTGTGTTGACAGCCACGTTTCCCGATATTCGAGTCCCTTATCGGTGTTGCGAGCGTTATGCAACCGGTTTCCCGATACTTCGCGTTTCTACATAAGAATCACTGGTGCCTGGGAATCACGCGCAACGTACGTGCATTACATAGAATCGTAACGCGAAAAACGTCGAACTGATTCGAACTTCTAAACTGGAATAACCCGTCGTCGACTTTGTCGCCACTAAAAGGCCATAGATTCCCGAGTGCGTTTCGATGGATACTAATCATTAGCTTTTCCTGAAAACTGGCGAAAAACTTTCACGATTGCACAGATCACGATGTTCAGGTCTAATCGGACGATTTTTGAACAATTGTCCCGAAACGTTTCTTCGAAGATACTCTATCTAGACTCGATGATCTTGTTTCAATTCTTACGATGCGTTCACAATGTTGCATTTCTCTTGATCATTTTCCTCGTAAAAACATGACATTGATTAAAACAATTTTTGTTCCCTGCGACTTTTGTTTCATCCTCTTTCATTTTTAGCTTTTGAATTACAGAAGAATCCAATTCGATTTAGAGCCTAACAAAAATAACGCTCATACTTATGACAAATTTTCATCGCGAGCCTCGCTATTATTTTAACGCAGGAGTTTAACAATCGTGACTGTCACGATTTTCGCCACCGACTCGAAATACAATTCCTTTGAAAATCTACTAGACAAGCCCAACTTCGTCAAGGTCTACGAGGCACGGAATCGATCGCTTTCGATTTCCGGAAAATCGAGAACTCGATCTAATAAAATAACAGGTCTGAATTGAATCGACGAGCTCAAAAGACGCGACCGCCGTACCTGCTGCCAGCAGGCGCCATCGTCTTACGGTCCTGCTTCAAATAGTCGCTGGTCAAAGTCTCGGTCAGATGCTTCAGGTTCGGACCGACCCAGACGACTCTTACGAACAGCTTCATCTCGTCGATATCTGCCCGCACGAAGCTGGTGACGTCCGGACGACTGGTGAGCAACAGAGCGCAGGGCTGTCCACCCTGGCACTGTTCGGGAACGTACATTCCTTGGCGACAGAAGCTTTCGTTGCAATAATACTGCTTGGTGTACGGATCCACCGTGTAGTTCCTGATCATGGACAGGGTCTCCTCGTCTACGTTGAATCGTGCCGCGGTGTCGGGCCTGGCGAACGTGGCCCAGGACTCTCCGGTCCTGGACAACGCTTCCGGGACGAACCAACCGAATTGGCCCCGTGGGCCTACGGAGCCTAAGTCCTTCACGATGTCTTCGTAGTCGCTGTAGAAGGGCGTTGGGTCTATTTGCGACGGGAACCAGGTCTCCATGTTCACCAGCGGCTGCTTTTCTCTGTTCGACCAGAAACAAAATGGTTCAACGAATGAATTTTTGCTGGTCGGAAATAGCCGACGATTCCGATGTATTTTGCCAGAGGGAACCGTGAAATTAATCATGCATTGAATACGTTCGTCTCCTCGTTAGACCGATATACAGGATCCCGAGGTCATTTGAAGTAACTTTTTCCTTAGCGTGATTGCAATCCGCGGCTTCGTTCACGAGTTATTCACGAAAAACGCTGACCAATGAGGGCGAGCTCGGCTGGCGCCAGTCGGCCGAGCCAACCAGCGGACGAAGCCCAGTTCCGCCCACTGGCTCGGCCGCCTCGCGCTAGCCGATCCCGCCTCTCATTGGTCAGCGCTTTTCGTTAATAACTCGCGAACGAAACCGCGGATCGCATTCGCGCCAAGGAAAAAGTTACTTCGAATGACCTCGGGAATCTCTCATTTTCGTATTCTGAGCAATTTTTGGAGACAGCGTGCATTGGGTTGGTCAACGAGTCGTTGCGTTACATTGCAAAAGCTGCCATTGTCTTCTATTGCGGAAAAAACGCAATGGACTTATCGCAATACATAATTAGCGATAAAGAAAAACTATAAAACAGCGAACTTCCTCATTTGCAGCGGCGACAATTCCAAGATAACTCGAATTCGCGGAAAACGAGAATAGGGTAATCGAAGAGAACGAAATTGGACAATTAACTGTGGTCCGTTGCGATAATAATGGTTGTTTTTGTGCGCCGAAACAAAGTTTTCCTCAATGAACGGATCGTACTATCGCGAGATGATTCAGTTACATAAATCGAATCGTTATGGAAGAATCTCGCGCTTCTTTAAGTGACCTTAATAGAGTTCGAGGTTTTGTATTAAACGGTTTCCCGATTGTGTAACCATAGTAAAATCGGAAAGAGTACGATCGGTCGAGGCTACGTCGAAAAATTGCGGCGACGTTCCGAGCGGAAATTGCGATTCAAATTCGTCTGCCCGATCGATGTCCGTGTCTATGCGCTTGTTGCGCATTGACGGTATCGTTTGTTTTCTATCGATATCCTTATCTTCCAGCTACCTATTTATATAAAGCAATCGCGGACGACAGATAACTTCGCAATATTTCCGCTGTTCGTAAACATTTCCGCAAACGAATATAGTACGCTGTTAAGCAGAGATATACGAACATGGAACTTTCTCAATTAAATCACGATTTATGCATGGCAAGATCCGTCCGTAGTAAGAACTGCGGGACTTGAAATGCGCGAGTGAAACGCCTCTGAATCGAATAACAAAATTTAAGCATGAATAAAAGAAACAGACGATGCTTTTCATTTCACCCAAAGATCCCCAGTCTAACGATTCGACTGCGAATCGGTCGAAAGCATCTTCGAAGTGAAAGAATTTATGCTATTTATTTGTGTCGATACAAATGCGCGTCCGCATCGCGCGCTGAGACCATCGATGCATAACGATTCACGGTTCGATAAACGGCAACGGGGGAGGAGCGAAGCAAGAAACAGAAGTTGCATTACATGTCCGACTTGTTCGATCTGTCGTTCATGATCACGAAAGTTGCGTTCGCCAGTCTCGTGATCGTTTCGAACAGGTCGAAGTTGTCGTCACTCTCGAGGACGTTCACGTTCCCGTATCCCAGCACCTCCTGCAGGAATATCTTCATGATCTGCGAGGACAGCCGCTGCGTCACCCTCCGCGACACCTCGAAGTTGATGTGCAACACCCGTTTGTTCACGTAGATCGTTTGCTTCGGAGTGACCTCTGGCGAAGTGAAACGATGTTTTAATCGAGATAACAAGATTCACAGTTGAATCGATCAACTGGGTCAGTCTTATCCAGTGATTAGACTGTTAACTAGTTGAGAGGACGTACCGTCGCGCATTGTCAGGCAGCGATTCGCAGCGGAGACCGTCGTGACGAACATCAGGACCAACAGGCCCACGATTGACGCGATTCTCAGCATCTTTCACTTCCTTCTTCTCCTGGAAAAAGAAAGAAGAAGATTTGGATTATCGTTAGTTTAGGGACACGACGAAAGACGCGGCGTTCTAAGTATACTTTAATATCTCACTTTATAACGAAGCAAAGAGATTTTGCTGCAATGAAATGTAGAAACTTATATTATATTTATATATAATATTATATATAATATTTATTGGCCTTTTTCTTGATAATAATATTTTAGAGCTATATTTATTTTTTATATTCATGATATCATAGACCTATTTATTTATTTTATACATATTTTTTACATCCATAATATTTTAGTCCTGTATATATTTTTTATATCCATAATATTTTAGACCTGTATATATTTTTTATATCCATAATATTTTAGACCCGTACATATTTTTTATATTCACAATATAACTCAGTCGTGTATATATTTTTGATGCTAATAATATTTCGATCGTGTACACATTTATTGCAGTAACAACATATTAGTCGAGCATCGAGCGGAGGAAAATATTTTCTTCGTCGACCAAAGAACGCGTTCTGGGAACAAATAATATCGGTACTAACTGCGTTGACAGATTTATCGATCCTGGTAGATTAGATTAAATGCTCGCGTCACCTACGATTCTATCAGCAATTCAATTATTCATACTTCGCCGCGATACATGCCGGCGGAATTATTTCTAAAACCGCTATCTTGTTCCTGAAAATACAATATACATTATCGCTCTTCGATGTCGATTTAGATTATCGAAGACGTGAATTACTTTTGTTCGGAGTTAAGAGGACTGTTCGATGGTGGCATTGTGCCCCGCGCTAACTCGAGGCGTATAAACTGCCAAAAGGCGGCCAAGAGACATTGTCCTCACGCCAGAAGCCACGAGAATCGCAGTTCCGGTGCGTCACGAGCGTTCAATGAGAAAACGGACGACCACTTGAAAATATATCTTTTACGATTGATTTCGAGAAGCTAATCATCTTTTTAAATTATCGATACTGTACAAAATTTGATCTTTTAACTCTTTGCACTCGAGTGCTGACTCCGAGGCACCTTTGAAATTTCTTATATCACGTTCTAAGATAATTATATAGATATATTTATTACATCAACAAAGTTAAATTTAAAGAAATTGTTAAAAGTGTAACCGTTGCGTAAGTCGCAAGACTCAAATTCGCACGCATAAAATGCACTCTGCCATATAAAATGAAGATACTATAAATCAAAAGAATTATTTTAGATTTACAGTTAAAATAGCTTCGAGTGCAAAGGGTTAATACCATTGCGATCGTAGAATATCTTTTGAACTGGACAAGTACACGAATCTTTCGATTATTTGTTTGTATAATCAATATTTCCTTGTATTTGCTAAATGTTCATTATACAAATTTCACGCCAATGTATGTAAAAAATATGTAGGAAGATCCACAATCCATCTGTCGTATTTTATTCACGAAGGGATTGCGGATTTGAATCGCGACACTAAGCAGCGCGTGGTCGTGGCTGACCAGCGAAAGGATGAATCTCCTTGCCGCTGCAGATGAGAAAATTCTGGTGCACTAATGTCTCTCTAATTGACGCTCCGATTGTCCACGAAAATGGACAATTTGGGAAATACGATTATTCGATCCTTGCTTTTATAATCGTTGACACGATGAAACGAGCTGCAAGGCTCGAATAATCGTATCTCCTCTTCCTAAATTGTCCATTTTTGTGGACAATCGGAGGGCCAATAAGAGAGACATTCCGGTACCTTTTGTGAGTCAACCGACGACGCTAACAATAGAATCTTGAGGTAGCCGGTGTGACGAACAATGCACGAACACACGTATAAATAGCGACAATGCGCCGCGAATGCGATCCGTCGTCGAACAGTCGATGATAAATTTAACAACGAAACGTGTCCCCAGCGGCAGGATCAGCGATTTGGACAGGTGGGACACGTGCCGTTGTAATCGTCGCCAGAACAAGGGGCGAAGGATCGCGGATTCACAATGTAGAGAAGTTACACCGGCGAACGTCTGCTGGTGTAAACCCATTGAGAACCGTGTCATTGTATAATAAAATGAGGAATCGTCTTTAAATTGAAGAATAGTTTTTAAACTGGATTGTGGTTTCTAAATTGAAGAATAGTTTTTAGATTGAAGAACAGTTCCTAAATTGGAGAATAGTTTTTAAATTGAAGAATAGTTTTTAAATTGAAGAAAATAGTTTTCTATATCTCTCCTGTAGTCTTAACCCTTGGCACTCGGTGCCATTTTGCAGCTCTGGTGAACGTGGACGTTTTTATTCTGACAAAATTTACCAGAAATTTCGTGCAGATCGAGTTGTGCAAAACGCGTTTTATAAATTCTCGTTGTAGGCTCACGTAAAAAAGTTGCGAACAACTGAGTATTCTGTTTGCTTTGCGAGTCCAAGTGATAATAAAATTAAACCAAGTATTTTAGTCGTTGTACAGTAAACTTGCCTTTAACATCTCTGAAAAATTTCGAATCATTTAGTTCTCGATATTATATATCATATATGTATATTTAACGATTCTTCTTGTACATCTATTACTCTTTTCATTGTTCCCAGTGACGCAGCAACTTATTTAACGTAATTTCTGTAAATTGAGCAATTCGATGACCTTTAAATGTACAAAGGCAGCCGGAAGACCGAAATGTGTCCGAATATTAACGCGTGTCACCGCATCCATCGACATTGACAAATCCACAGGGAAGCGCGAGAACGCGAAGCGGAGATCGAACCGATCGAAAGAAACTCGAAGCGTAGATCGCGCGAGGACCGAGTCGTCGCGCAGGTAAGAGGGGTGTGTTTAGGGGTTGGCTAGGTGTGCAAGGTGCGAGGTACGTGCGACGACAGTGGAAGAAAGATGGACGGATATATCTGCCAGCGACGACATTTGTTTACAACGTCGGACGAGTCGCGAACTCGCTTCGCGCACCGACGACGAAGGTGACAAGAAGCAACGATCGCCGCGCGCTATTCTTAGCCGTCTGAGACACCGCGACGCCGACGTCGACGCATCGCTCGTGGCACATTTGACTTTTCAACCCGCGTAGAGAGAGAGGAAGAGAGCCGTGGGCGAATGAACTGCGCCATTCGCGATCCCGAGCGAGCACGCCAATTTCTGATTCGCATTTATTTTCGATCGAGCACGCGACCAGCCGGTTCCACGAACCCGTCCGGATCACCATCGGGACCCCGCGTTCCGGATCGCGTGAGTAATGGATCATTCACGGAACGAACCTAAATGCGTGGCAATACACGACCGCGTGGGATTGCTCCGACGTTTCTGGAGCCGACGCCGCCGCGTTCGCCTCACCGGTCAGGAATTTTGTTTTGTTCGCGAGAATGCACTGATAAGTCAACTGCGACGACGTCCGCGCAGTTTCCAATTTGCGGATGTTGCAAAGGTCGACCGGGTAATTCTCTTATGGTTGCACGAGGCAGCCTCTTCCATCGCGAAACATTGTTGAAATTCGTTCGAAACACTCGAGCTCGTTTGAATTCAGAATTAGCACGCGGCGCGCGTTAAGATTTTCTAGACATTGCATTCAGTTTGCAATGAGAACAGTAAGCGTATTGCCTTTTGCAACTTCGTTGCAGCGAAGCTGCGGTGAAAAATTCGACGAAATCCCTTCGGGGAATTTGGCGACGTTGCGACGAGCTGTGTAACTAGACCGCGGATTTTATGCACTTGTAAAGAAAAATTAGCTGGTGAAACGCAAAATACTGAAGACATTCGAAGAACTTAATAATGTCATCGCACTGTTTTCAGGTTATTAAAATTGTTAAAAGAAGCGGTTCATTTTTGTTAAATTTCTGTATATTGCAATCGACGTGGACAATTTTCATTTTGCATAACGATCCGCAGTCGAGTGGATTCCAAACTCGAGTGGATTACTTGCAGAGTTCGTGATAAATCAACCCCGAAAAATCTCGCGAGATCGAAGTAGCTTAATTAATGAAACGAAAAATAGATCACAGCAATTTATTGTACAAGCGGGAAACGAGGGGTTCCTGAGATCATTTGAAGCAACTTTTTCCTTAGCGAAAATGCGATCCGCGGCTTCGTTTACGAGTTATCGACGAAAAACAGTGACCAATGAGAGGCCAGCTCGGCTGGCGCAAGGCGGGGCGTTCAGTTCCGCTCGTTGGCTCGGCCACTTCGCGTCAGCCGATCTCGCCGCTCATTGGTCACCGTTTTTCCTTAATAACTCTCAAACGAAACGACGGATTGCATTTTCGCTAAGGAAAAAGTTCCTTAAAATGATCCGAGGATCACATTTCTCTTTCCTCATTTCTCGCTTGTATAATAATTTTAAAACACCTTGTACAATATCGTGCTTCGAACAGATCCCTCTATTATTTCGTGCATGCGCATTGGAAACGATGCATTCGGCACCGCTAATTTCCTTCGTCATCGCTGTTCGCCAAGTTTCCAACTAGTTTCCTATTCTACGCGTCGGTCCATTATTCGCGGTATAATAAAAGAACACGTTACGAAGTCAGAGAGCTCGTCGTATGCTAATGGACTTTCCGAAGTGGCACCGGCGATAAAAACGAGAAGTCAAAGATTCTTCGTAGCTGGCTGGCTGGCTTATGCGTGCCACGTGCTCCACCTGCGTACGGTAAACTCGAAATTCACCGTCGTCGGCTTGTGTTCGAGACGTCGCGCGTCATCCGATGACGTTATCGTTTGCGTTACCGGCACACGTTTGCGTGCGCTGAATAATTGATGCGAAACACCGACGGAGTGGACGAATTAATTCACTGATACCGGGAACAATTTAAATTCCAGCCGACGGATATAAACGGGTATCACTTTCGTCGGGAGACTGCTTCGGTTCTTCTCGATTACCGCACGAGGAAGTGAAGTAACGTCGAATAAAGCGAACGTGGTCGCGTGAGTAACGCCCGATGCTTGCGAGGTGAACGCCCTTTGCTACTTTGTCGCAGTCGCTGACGGCGATAACTTTTCCCCGCACTTTTTAACGCGCATTTCTCGGATCGATGTCGACG